TGTTTTAAGCTTTATTTTGTCTTTCTGTAGGTGTGAGAATAATGATTACAATCTCATGTATAGTACGGCTATGTATTAGTAAACTACACAATTCAGTATACTAGCATTGAATATAACAACATTCACAAATATTTAACTTTTGGAATTATTCTGGTATCGGATATTTTGAATATAAGCAGAGCTGGCTCAATGCCAGTCATATTTGTGGAAACAAATACTGTGGGCACTTGCAAATCAGACCATGATGGTGGTACTATGAAAAAAGAAGCTATCTGAGTTGTAAGCAAGCAGTTACGAATTGCTGAAATCACAGCTGCTGTTTCAACCTCAGTTTTTTTGGCCCTTGTACTTGCTTGGTGTAACCGGGTGATGTAGGAGTCTGGAGGGAAATGCAGCATGCGCTTAGATAATTAAAATCTGTAGTATAATGCATACACATTGGGAGACAGAATTAAGGTTGCACTATCATCTGTAAATCCTGCTTTTGCTAATTTGAGCGCATAGCTTATTAATTGCTCCCCACCCATCAAGACCCTCTCCCAAAAACATATTGGAAGCTAAACTCTTTGCCTAATGTTTTGCTGGTTGTGTATACTGAGACTCTGCAAGCTATAGTGCTACTGCTTTTAAGGGACACTTTATGATAGCTGGCAGTAAGAAAGGTGATGCTGACATGCCTACTCTGGCATTTAAAGTTTCCTACTTAAATAGCTTTAAAGTAAATGCAAATATAAAATACATATTATTTTAAATCAACTCTTTTGTGTACTTTAGAAGATTCTCTTTAGACTACATTTTTGTCACGGTGGTATTTTTTTCATCAAGATAATGGAAGACGGGTCTGTGCTGCCAGAAGTAGTTTACTGATGAAATTTAAACATCTGTTTTACTCTTCCTTTGTGATTTATGTGATTAGCTAGTCTTTAGAAAATAAAAAAACCTGAATGTCGTGCTGCTTTAAATAAGGAAAAGAACATTCCCATTCTCCCAAGCAGCCCCTGTTTGCATTAAAAAACAGATGAATCTGTTTGGATCAGACTTAGCAAAACAAACAGAGTGTACTTTGGATTAAAAACTAAGGGATGGTAAGTCTGCTTCAGTATTAAAAGTCCTGAGTGAATGGAAATTATGACTTCATAGTGTCTATTAGACTATCTGAGCTGCCACAGGACATATCTGGGGCATATTCTTCCTATGAGTTAGTTGCTGTAATTTGTAATGGTCGTGTTGTGGGCCCTCCAGATGTCAGCATCCTGTTTACTTGCTTTTAAGCCCAACAGTTACTACATTTTATGTTTCCACTTTGTACTGTTGGAAGAATGTTGCCTGTGATACGTAGAAGGGATACCTCCCCTGGCTGAGCTGACATTGAACTGTTTTGCAGTTCTTCATTTGTTGGATGAAGATGCTGATGCAGCCACTGCTGGTTTGCAAGACAGGACATGAGTCTGATAACCTCAGAACCGGTATAGTTACCGGTAAAGCAGAAATAACTTGTATTTGTAAGTGTTTGCTGGAGAAACAGACCTGGTTTTACATTAAAAAAAAAAAATGCAGCTGCTTGAATTGAACATGGAATATTGCTGATACAAGTAAAAATAGAATGGTTTATTTCCGAAGGTTGTTCTGGGGTAAATGATAACCTGTCTCTTCCATGAGTTTTCCAGCAGTATTTGTAGTGATACCTTTCAGGGCATAAGCTGCACAGTTAATTTCCTGTGTAATTTTTGGGATGGTTTTGTGATGTATACATTTATATTTGGCATTCTGAATGAAATCTAAATGTGTAGCTTGCAGGTTGTATGAAATGAGAAGAAATGCCCATGGTGTGGATGCTGTTTATAAGGCCCAGCTCTAATGAGCAGAAGTGGTTCTCCTGCATACGAAGGAGCACAATTCCTGAAATGTCTGGTTTTGTTTCTTTGCGCACACCAAATGACTTCCTCTGGTCTTTATTAACTGAGTGCTTATTCTTGTTTGGCATACAAATACATTACAGGGAGAAAATGAGATCTATATTAAGGTCAAATAAGTGCTTTGTATATGTTACGTCAAACTGATGAGGGGACTTTATTACTGTTTCTGGGAGCAAGACAACTTCTTGAGAGACAGAAATAATGCACTTAGTCCTGTTATGCTGAAGTAATGATACTGAACAATGCATTACTATGAGTTTTATTAAAATGTCTTGATACCAGTGTGTTAAAGGCTACGAAGATACCGCTCTTGGAGCTCTTTTCCCCATTTGGTGTTGACTTTGGGCTATTACACCCCATTATAAATTATCTGAATATCTTTATTGTATCCTACTACTTGAAATGCACAGGAGCATACTCTTGGCTACTTGCTAAGTTGTTAGGTTTAATTGTCTTACGTTGGTGATTAGAAAGTGAGTCAAAGCAAGAGTACTGTCTCTTAAAAATTGGAAGTAGTCTCCTGACATGTCACTTTCTCAGAACTTTTTTACCAATAGGTTAAACAAATGAATTCTTATTATGTTTGCCTGTTTTTTTTTTTTCCAGTTACATTCAGTGTTTCTCCTCATCTGCTGCACTTGTTGCTTCCACCTCTCTCCTCTTTGACCTGTCCTAAGTATATGTACTTGCTTCCCTGTAAAGGCTGTGATACTACATGATAACTTAGTGCCTCACAGATCTGCTTAAATTCACCTGGGAAAAGAGTATTTATGCTGGGTGCAATGCAGTTCCATGTCTTTGCTATGAGGTAGTATGGTAATAAGCTACCACAGTAAGTGAAAACTGGCTTTGTACTACTTGTGCGAAAATACCCACAGCATGAAGTAATTACACCAGTCAGTGCTTGGACTCCTGGCCCAGAAACAGACGTCTGTACAGTGAGGAACAGTGAACTCTCTTCCAAAAGATAGCAGTGGATGGGTCTCTGCCTCAGCATCTGAGTGGTACTAATCTTTTCCTCTCTCCTCTCTCACCCTTAATTTTTTGTTCTTCCTTAAACGAGTAAAATCAAGCTACACTGCAGTCTTCTGGGGAAAGCACTGTCTTCTGCTGGCAACACCTTAGGCTCAGCAAAGAAATGTTGTGTAAATAAACAGCAGCCACTGATCCCAGGGAAAGGCAAGTTTTTTTGTCTTGGAGCACAAGAATATCACCATACCGGCTTATGTTAACGTGGAGGAAAAATAGGCCTAGACATGCAATTACCTATAGATCTTAGAGGTTGTGCCAGCTTGTCACAACTAGGACTTGTGAAAAGAGGTCACTGCCCTGTGATGTGACGCTGTGACTTGTAAGATACACACCCAGCAACTTTTGTATGCTAAAGATAGCAACCATAGTGGTAGAGGGTGCGGTGGTAGGTGCAGGTCAGTGTGTTATATCATGCTGTGCATTTACTTGTGTGGTTTGACCCTTGAGGATTCAGCCCTCTCTTTAGGATCTTTAAAAGGGGGCTTATACTATAAGTAGTTGAATGAATGGCTCAAATTAAATGCTGTAATGTAAAGTCAGTGTGGGTTTGGTTTTATCACTTCCTTCTTGGCCACTACCCAGTAACAGTGCTAGCATACAGGTGTCAGAGTTGTGGCTGGTACAGACCCAGGGAAGCTCCCTATTAGGTGTGCCTAAAGGGCTGTCTATGGAACAACACTGTGTGTTTGAAGCACACTGGTGATTTGAGTTCGCCCAGTTTGAGGTTTCTGTGATGAAACCTAAATATAGCACAAACCCGCATTGACTAATTTTAACATTCTGCTGTTGCATGAGGCTCCATCTAGAGTTACTCACCATTGGTGATCATAGCTGAGGCTTGCCTTGATGCTCTAAAATAGTAACTGGACTTCAGGTCTGGCTTCCCCCCCCCCCAGATGTGTTAATACTACAATGCTTAAGGCATGTCTTTTGCAATACCTACGCTGTGTAGTTTCCGTCACTAGATACTTCCCAACCATAGTTGAATGTGGATCTTGAAGCAAGGAGCTGAGCCAACTTTGCAGAGCTTTGTTAACACCTTAAATATTTTTTGGCATTGCTTCTGGGTTTGCAGCTGTCTCTGACTGCACTTCTGTGCATTGTGTGCTGAAGTGAAAGATTCGTTAGCTTGCCCTGGTCACTCATGTGCAGCATCTGTGGGTATTGCTGTGCAGCTGCTGCAGGACAGGACATGAGTCTGATAGCATCGGAACTGGGATAGCTGGAAGCGGATTATGATGGGATGGTTCCTAAGTGCAATAATAATCATTGTAACCTGTACTTGTGTGGATATAGATCTTTTAGTTCACAAAGTATGTTGGAACTGTGCTGTAGGCTATCCCCTGTGTTTGTAACTAGATCTTCAGGTGGGGTGGAGGGAATCTGGTCAAGGGAATGGTTTTGAAACCCTCTTAACACTGCAAGCTGGTGACAGTCATGGGATTCTGTAGAAGATAGTATCTAAAGCTTCATTTTAACTCCGTGAAGATTTACTCCTTCAGGAATATACCCAGACTTGGTTTTCCTACAGAAGCTGCAAAAAATATTGAAAGCGTTAAAGCAAATGAAAAGAAATATATCTGAATTGTGCATTGTCTGTGTGAAGGAGTTACAGGTTGAGTTGTTTTGGAGGAAATGAGGAAATACTCCAGGCTGAGCTTAGATGCTTTACTTGCTATAACTTAAAAAAGCTTCAGATACATGATACTATGTAGTAATCTTACACAATCTTGGATCCAGGATGAGAAAACACCCTTTTTGCTAAATAGGATTTGATGCTAACAATTATAGTTTAGATTTTTATTCAAGTTAAGCCATAAATTATTCTTAGAGTTGATGCATCTTCTCCACTTTTAAATTTGAAAGAAGGTATACCATTCATTTATGTTGGGTTGTGATAATTATCATCTTCATCTTGTATGTTTTTTAAATGCAAAGTAGAAATCTTAAACTTATGAAAACAAAGACTAAGAAATTGTAATTATGGGACAATTGGAAGTGTAAAATGAATGTTTTAAATTGATCTCTCCACCCCTCCCTAATTTATTTCAGGTTTATGACTCTGACTGTTGCGACAGCGTTCTTCTGGAGCTGCGAGAATATCTGCCAAAATACTTTGGTGTCTGGTCACCACCTACTGCACCAAATGGTACTGTTCTAATTTTATCTGTTAATCCAAACCTCCTGGAGAGATCTGGAGACTGATTTTTGGTAGTTGTGAGCTCCATAGAGTTTTTTGGTTTTGCTTTCTAACCCACTGATGTTCCCTCTAACAACCAGTTTCAGTTTCCATTCTTCTGACTGGATTAGGTCCTTGGGGTCTTCCTCCCAGGGAGATGGGGCATGGCTGTTTGTACCGCAAACATTTCCTGAGTGGCTGGACCTGATACATATTGCCTGGGGCTACTGCTCTGGTCTGCATCATGTCAGAGGAGTGGGCTGGTTGCATGTTGATGTCTGGTCAGGCCATCATAGCAAGAATCAGGTGCTGTGTGGGTGCGTAAGGAAGAAAAAGTAGACAGGTGGGGCCTAAGGGGACATGTGCAAACTGGACTTTGCTGCTAGATCTGCAGCGGTTGGATACCATCACCATGCCGTGTCATACAAAGCAGTTATTTCAGCAGGTACCTTGCTGGGGAGCTCTACTCGTCATCTTCTGTTTGAATGGAACAAAGCTCTGGTGTCTTAACTTTGTGTTTGTATAACATGTTAGGAGTTGGGAAGAAAAAGGTATTTTGGGAGATTGTCTCTTCAAGAGAAAGTAGATATTATTGATGTATTTAAAACAGAAACTAGTTTTTCTTCTGGGGACTTTTCTTACTCACATTGGGGAACTGGAGTTCTGGAACACAGAGAAACAAAAGGATGCTACTTGAGTCTATTTAATTAAATACATGGGTGCGAAAACTAGATGCTGGGCTCCTTTAATATAACTGTCTTCTTTTGCTCATGTTGTCACTTGATAGACTTGTTTTCCCAAGAGAGTAGTAAGACAGTGTCCAAAGAAGCTGTCTAAACTCGGCAAAGAGAAATGCAAGGAGGATTGTGGTAGTACCCAGCACTTTCTTGGCTCAGATATCCCTTCATGCTTTTGTATCTGGCACTAACTCAAATAGCTCTACTGGACCTTTATCCATTCCTCATAGTTTGGTGTGTGTCATGGAGCACATTTAATGTCCCCTCCAAATTGAAAATAAATCTTTCCTATTCACAATACGATCTTAAGTTGTAAAAGTACACGGTTTAGCCAAGATACAGTAATTCAACACATGCCTAGTTTACTTTGGGAATTCACTAGCTGTGTGCACCATGGGGCTGAATTTTGGCAGGTCTCCACCAGTAGTCCAGGCATAGCTGCTAGGAATAACTATTTAAAGGAAGACTTAACTTTGATATTGCTTGTTTTGCTTCTTGGAGATAACTGCACTATTAGGAGCCCTCTTTATGGAAAGCTGTGGTGGGGGTTCAAACAAAACACTTCATTGCCAACTCCATTATCTGTATTATTAATCGGTTTTGTGTAGTCTTGATAGACATCAGATATGTTGGAGATGATGGAGCTTAATAGAATGCATGCATTCTGGATACAATCAAAGCTAAGGAGGTTGCCATTCATGTTGCAAGTCATTAGTTGTTTAGTAGGTATTTGCAAATGCGGTTATGCTAATGCCAGGTGTGAAGGAAAACCTGTGATGCATCTCTCTGTGTGCATTGGTGCTTGGCACCAGAGGTGAAAACAATCAGCAGTGTTATGTTTAGAATGCTTAAAAAGTAGGAAAGCAAGTTTAGAAAAATAGGAAGAGGGGAAGTAACCACACAGAGGAGGGACATGGAGGGGGGACATTTCTAGGAAAGTTGAGGATAGGTTTGTTACTTGTCCCCCAAATTAGCCATGAATTAAGCTCTGTTTTGAAAGATTGAACAATATGCTTATGTGCTGTGGTGTGTCCCAGTGACTGTAGATGAGGGAATCTAGCTGCTCAAAAGGTATCTAGTTCTTAAATGTAGATTGAGGATGTATTTGTAGGCTTGCAGTTTCGACATTTGGAAGCATGACCTTTCCTTTGGCAGTTGCTGTTCTAAAGACTCTGGGGATGCAGCTCCATACAACCTGAGTACTGAACCCAGTAATTCCTTATTGTTGCTAAATTGGGTATAGATGAATTCTAAAATTCAAAAATAAAATTAAATAATCTGTTACCGAACTGTGCTTGCTGGAAGTTCTGAACTAGATGTATTTTTGAAGAGTATTTGTGTGGAGGAACAATGTCTTGCCTGGTTTGCCAGGGGAGAGAGAGGATGCCATTGGTGTTCTTGTTTCATATGAAGTTCTTTTATTTATGAGATAAGCATGAAGAAGGGAGGAGGGATCATTGGTGAATGGTGTCTTGTATGTGTAGCATTATAATTGTTACCTTGGGTAGAGGATTGAGAGTTTGAGTAAGTTCATACAGACAGGAAAAGAATTGTAGGCTTGTGCTAGTTAAAAAACAGAGTAACTTAATTTAGGACCACTCTGAACTTGATCTGTGATTAGCTCTGAGTTTTTATGTGACAAGTAAGCAGCAACTGTGGTGGGTAAGGTGGAAGAACACAAGGAGTTTATTTTCTTAGAGAAGTATGTAGGGAGAAGCATCAGTCTTCCATGCTGAAAGTGTAGGTGAGTGGATGAAATAGCTAGCTAAAAGGGCTGAAATGTATTAATGTAAATGATACTATAGGAAGTGTGACAAAAAAGATGGACTGATACAGCATCAATGACATTTGTAAAATACTGTCCTGCTATGCTGAAATAGTGTATCTAGTGCTGCTGCACAGGAGTTGGAGGTGGGTGACGCTCCATCTCCCTAAGCTAATCTAAAATCAGAGTGAGAGAATTTGATTTAAACTTCGCATTCACAATGCCAGTGAATACAAAGTTGATTAATAAAGAAGTTGATTAATGAAGTTGATTAATAAAGAAGTGGAAAAGTTGTTACAAAGATGTGGGAGCTACGTTAAGCTTTTTATATCTTCTACTGAGAGTTCTGGGTTTTGCTGCCTACCTATTGCCCCCAAATTTTTTGTTTTGTGTGGGTTTTTTTTTTTCTGCTACTCGTTTCATACTGTGCTCAAGTTATTGTTGCCTAAAATGAGAACAGGGTAGATAACTTCAAACTTTTCTTTTCTTTCCTTGTTGCTGGGAGCAACTGAGGCTTTTCCCTGCTTATTCATATGTTTTGAGAGATGTCTTGTAAGTTATGAGAAGTCAGATGCCTCAGATTGTCACTTCTGATTCCAGTGAGATCTGAATGCACCAGCATGTATGTGCTTATCTCCTTTGGGATTGTCATAAAATATGTAAATAATATGTCAGGCCACATCTTTCTGCCTTGTTCCCTGCTGCTGAAAAATAGAAAGGGGGGGGGCAAGCCTCTGAGAAATTATTTGTTTAAATCCTTGTAATATACAGTCAGCATTACCAAAGCTAAGATACAAAAATAATTAAAAATTCTTTTTTCTGAAGGGGATTTTGATTTAACCTGGTCTTAGATGGCAAATGCATGATTTTCAGAAGCATCTTGGATTAGCAGTGAAATGCATAGTAATTCAGAAAATCTGTACTGCTTGAAAAATCTGCAGGTTTTTTGTTTAACAAAAGGAGAGTAAGGAGAGTGCTCTGGTTATCTAGGCTCAGCTGCAGACTTATTGATGACCTTTGGAAGGACACATAGGGTCAAATCCTCACTTGAAAAGGCAGAGCAGTGATACCTTCCCATGTCTGAGTCTGAAGTTTGTTTGCCTTAGTCTTAATGCTTTGAGATATTGTAGGAGTAAGTGTTGAAAGGTGTAATATGTTCTGATACTGTGGTTTTGAGGTCTGTTTCAGTAGACTATAGATCTTGAACACAGTGCAGATAAGAACTGAACAGTGCCAGGAAAAAGGAAGCATAAACCCTTGATGGATTTTTCTGAAGCTGTAAGTAACTTGCTATAACACTTCATCTGTGGTGGCATTGCTCTCTCTAGAAGGGCAAAAAGCGTTTTGAGAATAGGGGTGAGCACTGAACAGATGTAGCATAGTCTTAATTCTGAGCTAGCATTTAGCCAACTATGAAGACTTAATTCCAAAAAGTGTGAGAGAGATGAGTCATTTCTGGATAATTCACAGGCTTTGCCAAGTAATTAGTATTTCCCAGGGCTAGTGTTAGCTCTTAAGTTATTTTAATGCTTTTAAAAATAGTAATTGTTACATTTTTAGGAGGTCAATAATGGAGATATTCTATCTTAACACATATTAAATGGATGGGGAACCAAAAAGTAACTGATATTTAGAACTTCTAAATATATTGGAGGTGCTGAATGTTGGTGTCATATACTTAAAAAGCGAGATTTGGACCAGTGGAATAGAGGACAGTGGATAAGCATGGGTGCTCTACAAATACCTTTGGTGGAAAGGGCATGATTATGTTGCCTGCATGTTTTGTGAAGGGAAGAACGCTAGGTTTTGGAAGATTTAAGTTCTGCTTTTTAAACCTTTTATGGGTTCACTTTTTGTTGCATTGTGGAAATAGATGTTTTACACTACTTTACATACAGTTATATTTTAGGGTTGATAAAAGCATTGCATCTAAACAATTTGTATATTTTGCAGTAACTTGCCATTTGTGTAAGTTTGTATTTGTAGCACTTTGAGTCCAGAGGTGCTTACTAGATATTCCAGAGCATATTGGGTTTGGTCTCGAAGGACTGCAACCATTTTCTGAGATGTTTCTGTATTTTCTTTCCCCATTTGCCATGGCATACCTCTGGCTCTGTACTTTTAAGAGCTAAGTACTAAAGCCCTTAGGTTCATTTAGTTATTGTTTTCTGGATTGCTTTAGGATGATGACACATACCTATTGATTACAGTGATTTCTGTAACATGTAAAAAGGATAGGTGTGAAGGGTGACGCTTAGACTTTTACTATTTTTGTTTTAATAATAGATAGGTAACAGGTTGTATGGACTCCCCTGGATTCAGTAGTAGTTCCCCAAAGCCCCGCAAAAGCTGTGCTGGTGTCTGACTGAATTAGACCTTTGTGTAAAAACTTTGTGTAGAAAAAATGGCACCCACAGTTGAGCTGATACTCTCCCTACCAGGAAGTGTATTCTGTATTTGTCCTGCTTTTCCTTAGCGTGTTTGCTACCTTTGGCTTCTCAAAGTTAAGCGTGAGTTATTTTAGCTTAGATATATCTCTGCAATGTTAGTTAATTTCACATTGATGCATACATACTTCAAGGAATTGGGACATTTGATCATGATGGTGAATTGAAGCTCTAAGTAGGACTTATTAAAGTAACAAAAGTCCCTTTCATTTCCTATCATGAAGAAAGTGTTTCACTTAGTAAGTGGAAATGGAACGTTGCTCGTTACCTTTATCTTGGCTTTAACTGGTTTTGTTACCTGTCTGTACAGTTATCACAAGGCACTTGGTCCCTTTTCTCTCTTTAAACTTGAACTGTGTTTGCTTTCTTTGGCAATCCCATTTTAGATTATGCTGCAGGAATGGAGAATAATAAGATGGATTTGCCTATTCAGATTGTATTAAAGCCAAAGAAATACATGCTTGGGATAGACTGTACTTGAAAGAAAAACAAACTTTAATGTGGAGTTTGTGACTGATAATGGGTAGATTTGCAGAAGCTGCCTTGAAAAATTAGACTTCTGTTAATCCTTTGTGTTGTCTTGGCATATGTTGTGCCCTGGGAAAGACTGGAAGTCTGTGCAAGGATTGTCTGCAAGTCAAGCAGTTACTGGAAGCTTGTCTTTGTGTTGTGTTCTGACAGTTGGTTCTGTAGATCATGTTGGTAATAGTCTCTTACTTGCACTGGAGAAGAGCATAAACCAGTTTGACCAGGTTTGAGATACTACTTTAAATCTTCAGGCTTTCCAGGGGCTTGGGGTTTTTTGGTCCACCCACGCTCCCAAAGGGGCTTTAGGAAATGGATGAAAGGCAGCCCTAGGATTTGAGGAATGTTTATCCCAAAAGGTGTGCCGTGAGGAATGATTGTAGATGGGAGTGGGATAAAAAGAAGGAAAATGAGATGCATTTCAGCCCCTGTAGGGTAGGACTCTGAAATGTTAATTTAATTTTTAAAATGACACAAAGAAAAATGCCATTTTAATTCTAGCCCTTTCACACAGAAAGAAAACACCATCTCCATTGCAAAACCAGCCATGTAGTAACCTGCATTTGTATGTGCTTATTAATGCTATTCAAGGTATGTTAATGGCTTAATAAAAGCTACTCATGAATTTCATCTGGGCAATAATTTGAACTTGAGCACACTTTAATTGCATACAATTTTCTAAACAATAAGGCATTTAGAATTTAATGCCAACAGAATTTGTGGGTGTCAATGACTGTGATTTAGACTATGTTCAGAGACAAATTTGACTCTTAAAGAACTCATGTGATCTTAAGCTTTAAAATACTCTCCTTCCACAGAAGTTCAGCAGAAACTCTAATTATTTGTTTTGACCCACTGTTTACGCAAGTCTTGTCTTTTTAACAGATACATATCTAAAACTGGAAGATGTGACCCGTAAGTTTAAAAACCCTTGCATAATGGATGTAAAAATAGGTCAGAAAAGTTATGATCCGTATGCTTCAGCTGAGAAGATACAGCAGCAGGTCAGCAAGTACCCGCTGATGGAAGAGATTGGCTTTTTGGTACTTGGCATGAGGGTAAGAACTTGTTTTGTTGTCAAATTAAGCTTATGCTCTGGCCTCTTGTTCCACACCAGATAGAGCAGCTAGTTTTTCTAGCAAATGACAATCCTCTTGAGTTTTACGTAAATGAAGTGTTAAGTGAATATGTTGGTAGTACCGGTATCAGCTGTTGTGTGAAGTATGTTCCAAAACACTGCTCTTGTTCACTACAAGTGTTTAACCTGGCTGTGTGCCTTCTGAGAATCTATTTGCAACTTGGGTTCTGTATATGTGTACAAGAAAGGGGTTGGAACAGACTATAGTTGTTTAAAACTGAATGTAGCTGCAGTCAGTTCTTGCATAGCAGGTATTTCAAATTATCTAAGTGGTTATTTGACTTTTGGGTTTTTCTCAGAGATTTGCATACTGAACCAGTCTTTGTAATAATTCAATCATGAGCTCTATCCTTTCAAAAAAATTTATCTTAATTTTTAAAATAAAAATAATTTTAATGTAATTTTCCTATTTAAGGAAGAGCAAGTTAGCTCTCATAGGTGAAGCATGTAGTTATAAGTAGCTGTTCATGTTCTGCATTTAAAAAAGCTTTCCACCAGAAGAAAACCTCTTTGATGCATACACGCTTGAGGAACAGCTGACAGGTGAGGGTTAGTTTGAGATGGATAAGGCCCTGCAGATGTCCATACTATCGCCATTACACTTCCTTATCTTGGGTGAGGAGAAAGATTCAATAATCTAAAAGTTCAATGTAAAGCAAAGCTGTACAGAACATTTGTGGATTTGTAACATAAATGTGTTGATGTCAGTAATGAATTCCAGATGCAATGCATTTGAAGTACTTTTTTCTGTTATGATTGGCACAGGAATAACTTTCTTTTTGATGTGAGATTTTTGTTTTCCTTCTCACATACACAAAGCCAGGGCTTCTCAAGCTCTGCATCAACAAGCATAAATGGCTGAAGACTGATAAGCTTCCCCTTTGCTGTTAGATAGCAGTAGCACACAGATTGTACCATTGTTTGAAATAATTCTAATATCTCTGTAATGTTTTGTACTTAATTGCCTAGGCTCTCAGCCTTAACTCTGTCTTGAGATAAGCTTCTACAGCTATAAATTATAGTGGTCATGAGTAGTAATTATGTAAGCCTATGAGAAAGAACGTGGGAGTTGAGTCAAAAACCAGTCAAACAGTTTAGATCGAGAAGGAAGGCTGGAGATTATAGCTTTGGATTTGTCTTATGTCATTACATAACCTTTCTTATCTCATGTGCAAAACAATGTAGTTAACATCCTTTGTTTCATGACAGTGCAAAAGGAACGAATGCTTGCTTCCACAGTATTTTTACTTGTGACTATTGTTTCCAACATGTCATTTACTGGTATCTTTACCCTGTTGCACAAATTCTTTCACTTCCTTAATTTAAACTGTGTATATAATGGTTCCCCCAAGCAATGCAGTTTCCCATCCAGTATTCAAGTAGATGAGAATTGTTTTGTGCCTTTGGTACCAAATTGCATGTTGGAAGTTATTTTCCAAAAAGAATTCAAAAGGTTCTTCCTCTCATGCAACACTTAGCAAAGTCTAAATTCGCAAGGCAATTTCTCTGCTCAGCTTGCTGCCTCTTGAATATGGGGTTCTCTCTGGCTGTCTGCTTGCTTTATTTTTGCAAGGTTCTGGTCATAATGTAAATTGCTCTCCTGTACGGGCATTTACTGCCTCTAACAGCTAACGTGCTAGATAAAGATTGCTAGTCTTTGCTGGACAAAACATGGTGTAGCACGATTTGGAAAGTAGAGGGGTTTGGTTTTAATCTCTCCATTCAATTTTATTTTTAACATGGAAGTGGGTTTGCTTAGCACATTTCTATTTTAGAAAAGCAAGAAAGAGAGGACCAGGAATAATAGAAAATGTAGTTATCTATGGCTTTTTTAAAGTACACATCATATAAGCTGTCATGAAGAGATACATGCAAAAATGTGTTACTGGCATTTTCTTACCCCAAAATTTATTCATAGTAGGTTTTTACACTAAAAGCCATCGATATGGCTTGGTGTTATACACTGGTAAATAAGCAGACATCTGTTTCTATATAAAATATGTATGGTTTGTCCTTAAAAGAAGCTAGTCTCCTATCTGGCAGAGCTTTGATTTGTGTACATAGTTGTGGCATTTGGCATGTGCTTAACTATATTCATCTTAATGCACTGAATAGACAGAACAAATGCATGGAAACAGTCATTTCAATAACATTGGTTAAAACCCTGATTTCATGTTTAGTGGAGAGGTTCCTTTCCTTAACAGGTGAGGACATAAATTTATTATGGAAGTAGAGTTTAAATAGAGGTTGGAAACTAAGGTGTGGTTGCAGTAGCAAAAATACAAGTTGCAATATGGTTTTGGTAGTAGATGTGTGAATACATAAGAAGTATCTTCACAGAGCATGCAGTAATAGAGTATTTTGTATGCTGTTGAATACAAGCAGAATGTGAAGGTTGTGATCTCAGTTTGGATTTGCAATCCAGTTAGAATCCACAAGTCCTGATTTCTGCAGGTTTTCTTTTTCTTCCAGAACATCTTGATTGCAATATCACATAATCTGTAGTATTTCTGAAACATGTTTTTAATGCACAAACTGGTGATTATGTAACTTTACCAGTATAATCCATCATTTCCTTTTATTGTTTGTGCCTATGAACTATTACATGCAGATACCTCATCAAAATTGTTTTTACAAGTGAATTTTCTAATCTACAGCACATGTTCCTGCAAGATGTATTAAAGCTGTCTGTAGCTAAGTCTGTTTTACGAGTTCTTTATGAATCCTTTCTAGTATTGTGGAAATCTTCATAAGTTCTGATGTCTTAATAACAAGATTTAGGAGAGGAGAAATAATAAAGCTATTAAATCCTGCACCTAGTGTTCATGTTCTTTCACAGTAAAAAATGGCCAGAACTGGGAGTTTTACAGTTTTAAGTCTAATTTAATGATGTTTAAGAAAACAGGAAGACAAAACGAAGCCCTGCAGCCCCACCCCCAGACTAAAGCAAAGCAAAGCAACCTAACCCACAGCAACCCAAAGAAACCAACCAAAATCCCTGGAAAAAACCTCCAAACAAGCAAGCCTCCCAAAGTCTGGAAATACATGTCTGCAGTGGTTGAACTGAGCAGTAAACCACGGCACTGGTTGTTTTCCCTGTTCTGGCATTGTTACCTCTGTGCACCGCTGTCTCCTCTGCTTTTCTCTTTTCACTTTCACTCCCCTGTTCTTGCAGTTGAGTTTGACTCACCTGTTTCTCACCTGAGGGTTCTGAATCCCTGCTGTGGAACAGAACGCAGCAATTCTTCAGAGTCTGGTATCTGTGAGAGGATTGAAGGGTGTGTTTCAGAAGTACTTCATTTGTAGAGCTCAGGAGATTCATCTGTCGCCCTCTTGGGTGAATTCTAGCAGATGGGTACCCTGGCATGTTATTTCCACCATTTTTCCTTACTTGAAAGACTCATCATGTATATGACAGCTGGTCTACTTGTGTCCTTATGGCTGATAAGGTTTCCTGTATGTTAAGAAAAAGTGGATGATGGATGAGATGAGAGATTGCCTCTTTTTCCTATTACATGAAAAAGGAGGCATAAAAGAAAGTTATTCTAATGAAGTGCTCTGCGGAAGTTCTGGGAGTCAAAAATTATCTATTAAGTTATCTTTAAAATTATTCATGATTTAACTGCAGTGTTGTTTCTTTTATTTAGGAGATCATTAGTCTGCTTTTTCACTGCATTAGTTTCAACATAATTTAATTCTACAATTTATTTATGTAAGGATCTTACTAAAACTTTACGTAGATTGTCGGAGCATTTGGTGGTGTACTTAATCATATAAAGCACCATGTTGAATACCAGAAGAACAAAGAAACACACCAGAGAGAACAAAATATAAGTATAGTTTTAGAAATTGGGGAGCAGGGATGCATCCTTCCTGTGCTGAATTTTCATGCCAGAAACAAGCAGGGATGTGTCTAATTTCCTCACTTGTGGTCTAGCAACAGCGAAGTTTTTAAAAAGAAAAAAGAAACAAAATGAGGGTATGTGTTTCGATAAATGGATTCAGATAAATGGGCCTGCTCTCAGCAGAGTAATAGTTACAGAATAACAACAAAGCAACAGTATCAAATAAGAGAATGTATTTAAAAAAAATTCTCCCTCTGTTACTTTTTCCTCAAATCCTTGTTTTATTTTCTTTTGGAAAAAGAAAAAAAGCAAGGCTTGTTAAAACTCAGTGTTCAAGTCTCCCACTGTGGTGGTAGAGATTACAGGACTGCAGAGAAACTTGGGTTCTTCAGACATGAAGGAAACTTGTATATTTACATAGGGACAACAGTGAGGTCCAGGCAAAAGATTGTGGATGTGGGGCTTGGGCTGGCACTGGAGATGCTCCCTGCAAAGGTGGTGGACTGATGCTGAAGGTGGATGTCCTCAGGTTAGCTGGACTGCTGCCTGCTTACTTCCCGCTTTTGGCTTGGCTCCAGTTTGGGCAGCAGTTTGGGTGCTGACCTTCAGATGCCAGTTATGAGCGCAGAGGTGCCTTGCTGTACACAGAAAACTGTGTAGTATTTAAACACTTGCTCACTCTTACCTGTGTGAATCTAGAATAGGGGTGATAAGTATATTTATGGAAAAAATACAAAGGGTGGACACCTCATCCCTTTTCCGTTTGAAGTCCAGATGCCTCGGCATCAGAGAATGTATCTCTGATCTCTCTGTCCTTTCATAGAAGAGCAGGGCCCAGGCTGCACACGCGGGGCATGGGGGGGAGCTGGGATGGGCACTGAGAGCTCCGTGGGAAACTGCTACCCAGGCACCAGTGAGTGTGGGAATATCAGCGGCACATGAGTCCATATCATGCGTGCAATCAAGTTAACCTCGGCTCTGCAGGTACCCCTCTGTAGTGTGCTCTGTGCCTGTTCCCCCCCCCGCCCCCCCCCCGGCCTAGTTTCAGTCATGTGGATTAGTTAACTTTTTTGCAGGTGTGAAAGATCTTTACAAGTTACTTAGTAGAGATTTTTATTTGTGCTAGCAGTACCTCTACCAAACAGGCTAGTCTTAATTATAGTATGTATTTAAATTATACTTTCTGGAAGATAAGGGCTTGCCACAGATAAGCATTTGAACAGCGTGTGTGTTTTTCTGCTTCACCATGGAAGTCTGTACTGAATTACTGTAAATAACAACATGTAATATTTGATACTTGTTTTCTGCAGTCCAGTCTTCAGCTTAATATTAAAGGTTTCCAAATGGTGTACCTCACAGTTGAGATCTTGCAAGGGTGGTACTTTTATAAAGACCACACTGGACCAGCTTTTTATTTTAGCTCAAGGTTTCTCTCACTTGAAGAATGTCAGATGAACTAACTGTGATTGAAAAAAGGGGATAAAAATACATGTGTGTATGCAAGCAGCAATAATTTAACACCTCGGGGGGAAACAAAGGCCAAGTGCAGGTTGAGAAAATCTGAAGAGATAATTTCCCTTGACAGTTGATCATCTGGATTTTTTGATGTGCTGCCCATACAGAGTCCCTCCTAGTACTAATTAAAAACCTGAATCTGTTAGCATGCTAGGTTGCAGTTCTGTGTTGCAGAAACCTCACGGAACAGCGGCTGCTTGTAGGCACAAGGAGGAGCCTCCACATTGTCAACCACACCACCTCAGATCTTGTGTAGTAAGAATGTATAAAAATCACTGATGAAGCAGGAGTTGTCTTGAAGGCAATCTGAATGTTTTACAGATCATATAAGGAGTTCTGTTTTGCACTGTAGAGTGAAACTCCTTGTGAATACAAAGCAAACATGTAACAACTGTGGCAGGTGGGTAAGAAATGAGATTTTCCTGTCTAATAATTTCTTGGCTGTTGTTAAGGTTACAGGTCTGACTTTGACTTGTCATTGCTTTGAAATGGGCTAGTACAGACAGCTGCAAAAGAGGGATACAGAAGGAGGCTGGTTCAAAGGCAAATATCCTTTTGGGAAGGATTAGTAGAAGATTAGTAGTGGTGACAGCATGAACAAAAGCATTGTCTGTAGACTAGGAAGTTGATTTTAGTTTTCTGCTACTGCAGCTCAGCCATCCCTGTGTTTTGGGGGGGGGCGGGGGTGTGGTGGATTGGTGAGGGTGAAGCAAGAACTGGTGAAAGCTTATTTCTGTTTTAGCTTGGGCTTCTGTTCCTCTGCTTTCAGAACGGGTCTTAATGTATTTGTATTCGGTTGAGGTTTTCCAGGAATGGTTCAAATAGTCACTCCCTTGCAGTTGAGAAAAAGCTTGAAGCGGTGTGATGAGACAGCTCTTTGGCTAACATGGAGAATACTTTCATCATTACCTGTATCTTAGAATCATAGAATGGTTTGGGTTGGAAAGGACCTTAAGATCATCTAGTTCCAACCCCCCTGCCATGGGCAGGGAAACCACACACTAAACTATGTCGCCCAAGATTCTGTCCAGCCTGGCCTTGAACACCGCCAGGGTTGGAGCATTCACAACTTCCTTGGGCAACCCATTCCAGAGCCTCACCACCCTCACTGCAAAGAACTTCTTCCTTTTATCTAATCTAAACTTCCCCTGTTTAAGTTTAAAGCCATTACCCCTTGTCCTACCACTAGAGTCCTTAATGAAGAGTCCCTTCCCAGCATCCTTATAGGCCTCCTTCAGAAACTGGAAGGCTGCTATGAGGTATATATTATCCTTCAATGCTACTGTCTGCAGCCAAGCCCATTGGTTAACCAAGGGAGTTCTGAGTCTTTGCTTGTTCAGAAGATAGTTAAATATATATCCGTTACCCTGCTGGTATGTGTGTGGGACTTGGCAGTTTGTCATTGACCATTTTGTATAGTTAAAAATGCACTGTTAATGCAGAATACACACATCTGCCTGGGTGTTTTTAAAGTATATGGAAAGCCATTTGGGGGAATGGTTTTACGCAAATTACGAGAAGAGTAGGATGGCTTCACAGGAAACTTAGCTCAGAAGCACAGGGGGCTGATGTGCTGCTCCAGTGTTTCTCTGGAAAACAAAATGAGCTTGCAGATCTTAATCAGCATTTTTGAGCAAGTGCCCATGTCACACAAACTGCTAGCTCCTACGGGGAAGAGATAAGGTTCTGGGAAACAAGATTATTCGTTTGGGAGTGTGCTGCAGTGCTGGTGTATAGAGGAAGCTGCCCCTAGACCAACTAAATGAGAATATTTAATATTATTAAAGTGATGACACAGCTAGTAAAAACCTAGATGTATTCATCCGAGTCCTGATCCTCTCCTAAGCAATATTTTTTAGTTTTATTTTTGCTTTATTTAATTCCCTTTGGCTTGTGGCTCTTTAAATTTAAAAAGTTCTTGAAACTTTTTGTATGTTTTTGAAAGTAACTTTGATACCTGAAGTATTTACACAAGTAATCTTTGGGGTTCATAACATTGCATGCTGTACCTCTTTTATGTGCTTTGAGGGGGGGGGTTTGAAACGGTAGTGAACAATGGTTGTTTTTGTGAAACCAAAATCACCCTTGTCAGATGCTGGGGTAGAAGAACTCAGCTCTGCCATGCATTTCTGCAATTTACAGACATCAGGGCCTCAGTTTCTCTAAGTATCATAACAGTGGAAATAGGAATGATAACAGTGGGAAGCGTCTCTACTACTAAGTGGGTTTAAACATTCAGGCTTACAACTGCTGTTTCTTTAGAATAACCAGAATTATTTACTGCCTCTTCAATTCAATTCATGGTTGATGACTTAAGTCAATTTCTACACATTATGATCTAACTTCCTTGGGGACCCCGAGTTTAATTACTTTTATCTTTCTTGTCAAAATAAGAGCTATTTGAGACTTTTCTTCCCAGCTACTTTGCGAAGCAGGAGTTATGCGCCTGTATTTCATACTGTGCTTGTTGTGATTCAGATGGGGAGGAGAGGTTTTGGAGTGGGGGGCTGCAGTAAAAGCAGGGAGTTCTTGTTTTTGTGATTATTGCTTACATACTACTCCTTTTTATGAACTGATGTTTTATTGTCCTGGATTTTCTGTGGGCTACAGCAAGAAAAAGCCCCCAGAGGAGGGCACGGGGTCAAGCGCTTCACTGGTGTGCTCTGACTTGCCTTCTGTGGAATTCTCTCTATTTATGGCAGGTGAAGGGGGGGGCAGAGCATTGCAGCCTGGATGGGTGCTGCAGGGTTGGGTGGTCTGAACAAGTGCCAAGCACAAAAGTTTCTGCCAGAGACAACTGCCTGCTTGGTAACACCATTGTTTCTGCAAATAAGAATTGTCTACACTCTCATAAACAAATTATACTTGGGCCTGGCTGGCTGTCATGTTTCTACTATGGAAATTATGTCATTTAGAGAGAAAATGTGTCTCCCTGTAAAACATTTCTGAATTTAGTTGTTAAGCTTGTATGATTCCTGATATGGACAAAACTGTGCCCGAATGAGTTGCCTCCCTTCCAGGCGAGAGCTGATGTACTGCTGTCAAGGCTGGAACCGTTTATCGAGGCTGCTGGCATTTATTTCATATAACCTCATTTGTGCCAACAATTATAGTTTCAGATGGGTCTCATGGAGCTGGGTCTTCCTGGTCACATCATAGTACAACAACAAAACTGTAAGAAATACTAAGTATTTTTACAGTTTTAAGAACTGCAAACTAATTGCATTGAGTTTTTTAGCGTATTATGTCTTACCGAGTTAATATTCATAGTTGCATGGGTAGGAGTATGGTAGTTTCAAGTCATAGCATTGGTTTGCAAAGCAGGAGACACATTAAATGTTTTCCCGAAATGGATATGTTGCTTTTTGCCAGGATGGTGTCTTTCTAATGCAGGAAAGCTGTAGCTTAGACCCCAAGGTGTGAAGGGGAGGATTTTGCAGATGAGAGCACTAGAGGGCAGCGCTGACCGCTGCTAGTGAAAGTACGCGAGTTTTAAATGGTAACAAGGGTTTTTGTAGCCTGTCTGTAAGATATCTCTTAGCTCTGCAGAAATATTGGTGCTTCCAAATAAGTACAGAGTTCCCTCCTTCTTTCTTGCAGGTTTACCATGTCTCTTCTGACAGCTATGAGACACAAAACCAGCACTATGGAAGGAGCTTGACAAAGGAAACAGTAAAGGACGGTAAGGGAATTTGTGTGTCAGAATTTAGTGCTCTTGGATAATTTTAGTTTATTTACTTACTTATAGGACTGTGTGGAAAAAGTAGTCTGTGTGTTGCCATTTTAAAAATCCTTTTTTTCCCCTCCTCTTGCTACATGGGTCTTTAGCTGTTTCCTGTATCGTGTGAACTACTTGTTGATCCTAAATTAAGTTTGCAATTGGTTCTAACAGTGGTGTAAACTGTAGGAATTTCCTCATCACTACTATTCTTTAGTAGTAATCTACTAAAGTAGTACTACTTTATTAGAGTACAGTCTTCTACTACTACTAAGGGGGTGACAGTGGTAGAAATCAAATTCTTTGCAGTCTTGAAACTATAATGAAATAGGAATCTTTTAGAAATATTTAATGTTTTTATAATATGTATATTTAAATCTCTAGTTGTGTTCTTCCGTGAAGATGTCCTGTCTTTTAAATTAGAAAGCTACTATAAAGGCGTCCTCTGATTTAAGGGACCTTCTTGATTGAAGTCAATCCGTATGTTGCTCTGAAGTAACAGTAAATAAAAATGCAGCCATTATGGCTGCCATTATGTTTGTTTGTTAAAACTAGTTATTAATTGACATCTGTTTATCTGTCCCACACTGAGGGACAGAAGGACACAACCGTCTCCAAAGCTGTCGCTAACTTGTCAGCTCTGTCACTCATGGCAAAGAGCTGCTTGAGCTTGTTTGTCCCTGGAGAATTCAATGGATCCCTGCCCAGACTGTCCAGATACTTGCTAAAATGACCTGGGGAGCAGGAACCATGTTTGTCTACTGATCTATGCATTGATTAGTTAGTTTACTTACAGTCCAAGCCCAATCTGTAGTATTACACAGCAGGCCTTACACAGGTGAGGTGACTGAAGGTATCAGAGTTCTTCAGTTCACTTATGAAGTAGGTAGTTTCTTTTCAGTCAGTTATTATGTGAATGCTGTCTTTTTTTTTCACATCAAGACCTATTCTCATCCCAAAAGAAATAAAAATGTCTGTTTTCTTTTCAGAGGTGAAAATAATCCCAAATTGTTTTTTTGCAGGCATCTCAAGGTTTTTCCACAGTGGGTACTGCTTGAGAAAAGATGTGATTGCTGCTAGCATTCGGAAGGTTGAAAAGATTTTGGAGTGGTTTGAAGGCCAGAAGCAACTTAACTTTTATGCAAGCTCATTGCTGTTTGTTTATGAAGGTTCGTGTCAGCCACCAACCGTGCGATTGGGTGATGTAACCTTGGCAGAGAAGAGAGGAGTGCCCAAAGGACTGTTATCAGGTGGAGATGTACTGGAGTATAATAATAATATTCATGTAATAAATTCTACAGAGAATGGAAAAATTGAGTCCTCTGTAGGTAAAGGCTTGTCCAAATTTTATGCGCTTCACAAAAAGGCATACTCGAAGAGGCATCACAGTCAACTCTCACTAAAAGTTGAAAACTTGGAGCAAGACAACGTGTGGAAAAGCAGCACGTGCATTACACAAGAGCATCTGAATGGAAACGTTATACCCCAACTGGAAAAAGTTTTCTGTCACATGCCAGCAGACATCAAGGAAAGCGCAAATGTAGAAGTCCGAATGATAGATTTTGCTCATGTGTTTCCTAGCAACGCAAAGGATGAGGGCTACATTTATGGTCTGAAGAATTTAATCACAGTACTTCAAAATATTTTGGATAACTAAATTCTTTGCTATGTTTTTTACTGGGGGCCAATGATAAAGAAGAGTAACAACATGAAGAATTTCTGCACTTGTAATGCTGTATAACTGGGTTTCTATTGTTCTATATTTTATTTGTCTTTGTACTTTTGGTAGAAGGGTTTAACTTTTTATAATCTCACTCAGGAAAATAATTGATAGTTAATTAGGGAGTGTGAAAGGATGAAGATACTTAAGATTAAGCAGGATAGGTAAATTAGAATGAAATGTGTATGGCTGACTTAAACCCAAGGAGTACAGCTGTACAATAAGCAAGGGTTATGATAGTTCTCCTTATGACTTTAGCATAGATAACATTTGCCCACTTAGCCTTGACACTGAGCCGTACCTCCATTAATAGGTTTTTAGAAAATGGACTGAAAACTAACGTGCAGGATTGATGTCCTCAGTACTGCCCTCTTGTGTTTACTGTGTTTGAATAACTGGAGTTAACCCTGCTTTGAGAGCAATCCCATTGAGTCAGTCTAACCTGGAAGCCAGCGTATCAAAAAGTGCTTTTCATTGTCATGGGACAGTATTGCTGTTCTTTCAACGCTGGTGTGGGCACTTCCCCTCTTGGTGGTTGTCTGTAGCCCATGTTCACTGCAGACAAGCTACAATGTAATTTGTGTTGAGGTGCTAAGAAAATGCTGGAGTAAAATATCCTAACAGGCTTAAACTGCACAACTGCTAGAGAAACTGTTTGTTCCTAAGAGAGAGTAAAAGAATTTGAACGGGAGATGTTCCAGCAACTAATTTGGTTTAGGAGATTAAGACAATCTCTTATGTTGTGACTAAGGAAAATGCCTCACTCCTTTGTTCCGATGGCCCTTCTCTGAAAACGTTAGTTTTAAAAGCAAATTAATTGAATGGGGAAACAAAGTGTTTTGAGTAAGCCTACAGAGATTTCCTCTAGCCGTTTGCTGTTTGTATTTTTTGCAACAAGTGTTTCACATTTCCACTGCTGGAGAGCACCGACTGGAAATGAGGAGCAATACAGGTGAAGGACACTTTACTGCGAAGATCCAGTTCAGCCCTGGAGCAAGCAGACGTACCTCTGTGTTTGCGGTGGAGTTGTGGCTCTCTTACCCTGGGCTAAGGAAGCCGGCTCTTTTATTTATTTATTATTATTTTTTAATGACACACAGGTAAAGCTGTGTATTTTGAAAGCTGTCCCACTTCCTTTTCCACAGTGGAAAAATCAAGCTTTCATGTAGAATGTTTGAGATCAGGATGATGTATCCAAAGCATTTTTGGTGTGTCTCTTCCGTATGCTGTGTATGTGGCTACCTGGTGTGTATAGTCAGCTATACAAGAAGTTGGGATGAAGGAGTCTTGCCATCCATAGAGCAAGAATGTAATGCTTTAAGCAAGTCCCAGAAGTGAAACTTCTTAGAATGGACTTTGTCACTGGAAATGTACATCTTTTACATGTGGACTTAAGGTGACACTGTGGCCTTGCTGCTCTCTCTGTATGATGTTCTGCACTGTGCACGCATTTGTGTACATGTCTGCAAGTTCTTGATTTGACATATGTTTTCTATATCAGAAAGAGATAAATACTTTTTCAAGCAAGTACATTGTTTTAAATAAAGCTGAAATTTTAGCTGTATTTCAGAACTTGGATTGGTTGGAAGCAGTGATGTGTTATGTGTAGAACTACTTGGTTTAAACTTCAGAGCTAATAATGGCCAATGCATTCAAGAATGAAACCAGTCTGTCAGGAACATAATGTTTTTGAAGCATGGGAAAAGATGGGTGCAGGAGGGGCAGTGTCATTTTGTTGAAAGCTTTATGCAAATCAAGGCTGAGGAGAAAATACCAGTAAGAGAAAGTATGTTTTTCTACCTGGTATTTCCATTGCGCCACATAGTTATAGTATATTCCCAAGTCTCCATGAATTAATTTAAGCCATATTCTGGAAAGAGTTTGTGGTTTTGTTTGCTTTGATGCTGGTTTCTCTGTTAAGATTTTGTTGCTCTATCCTGTAAATGGTCAACACTAGAGTAGTCTGGGCTGGTAGTGGCCTTGTATGATAAAGTCACAATGTTTTATAGAAAATACAGGGGAAAACATTTACACATCTGACTCTTTGTCCTCTGTAATTCATCTCTTCTGGATTTTAATCCATTTTGTGCCAGAGAAACCAGACATCTGCCTCAATGAATTCAGTCATTGGAAAATGATCTGTATGCTCTTAATATAAGCGCATTCTCCTGTCTCTGCTTTAAGATATGTCTTCAGTGTTTGAATGCTCTTAAGTATTGATTGTTGTGTTGACTTTGGCAGTGTTTGTAATGCACCTGGAATATTGTTAAACTGTCAGAATATTTTGAATAAAAAAAATAAATAATTTTATCATGTTCTTATTTTTTTTTTTTTACACCAGTAATTATGGATGTATTTCTGTTTGTTTAAAATGTAGCTTGAGAGATAATAGTATTTTTAATTGCAAGTTGTGTAAATAAAGCTTGCTCTAGAGGTGTTTGTCGTAGTGCCAGCTGTGAATTTAAGCCTGCAAAGGTGTTATATTCACATTGTTCTTGCACATTTTAGATTTGGTGTTTCTAGTGTTTTATATCTGAGCAGATTGTCTTCAGTTATAGTTGGAGATGTATTCACAGAAATTATTAAACAGATCAGAGAATTAATAAGAAGATGAAGAGGGAGACACTAAACATACACATGGCCATCGATCTCCCTCTCAGTGATGCCTGTTTTGTCCTCTGCACGGAGCATACAGGACAAGTGACAGTGTAGTGGAAATCCTTACAGAAATGGTAAGAAGACTTACAGGTATTTCTGTCCCATAAAGCTGAAAGCAGGTCCCTTCCCCAGCCTAGAGTGGTATATCCAAGTGCTGATGTCATTGATGAAGCCTATCTGTCTTGATTTTAGGCAATATGAATTTGATTTAGCAGAATCAATTGTCAAAAGGGAAGACTCATGGAAGCATTGTCATTCATGTACTCTCTGAGAATATACTTTTCTGAAGACTTTCTACCTAGGTGATTGTGAGAATTGTGTATAGGCTTACCTAATGAAAGCTTGAATTACATTAAGTTTTATAAAAAAGCATTTACATATATGGTATTTTTGGATATGGGTGGAATTTGTTGCATAAGTTACACTGGAAATTATTATACCCTTATGAAATGTTTAAAGTATTTTAATCCAATCATTTTATGAACTAAACTGGAGACTTTAATTTTATGTGATTCACATGAAACTTGTACTGGTTTTCGATGTTTTTTCTTGGCTGTAATACGTAGTCAGACCATTCTTTTCCATAACCCTACAGCTCCATGGAGAACTTTAAAAGTACTCTGTAGATTAGGAAATTACTAATTCCCTTCAGTTTGATTAACAGAGTGCATATGTTCTTGAAATACTTTGGTGCACATGGTACTTAAAGTAATGTTAGTGTATTATACACCTAGAGCCCCAGTAAAACCTCCTCACCTGCAGAGAGCTCCTGCTGAGCCCAGTCTGGATTATGCGGTATTTTAAAAGGGCCTTTTCACAGGTAAGAGTAATGAGGGGAAGAAGGCATTGCCTGCTCTGGCCATGTCAGGGGGTGTTCACAGCCTGAGCTTAAAATCATTCTACTATACTGTCAAGAATAGGTAGGAGAGAAACTCACATCCACATCTGCTATTTAAAGTTAAGATCAGTTGTTCATCCTCCCTCCTAATTTTTTTTTCTCCCAAGTAAGCTGTCTTCCTGAGTGCCTTTGTTGTCCCTTGCCACTAGTAACCTTCTGCATAGAATGACTTAAAAGTGAAATTTTAATTTCCTAAAAACTCATGTCCCATAACTGCTCTTAAGGTATTGAAAAACACCATCAAAATGCCTCAAATACCGGGGGAAATGCAATTTCTTTTCCCATGAAAGAGTTGGAATGGAATGTTAGTGGAGAGCATGCTTGGATGGGAGTCTGGATTGCAGGTTTTATAAAACTTCTTTGTCTGTGTTTTGAAGAGGACATTGTGGGGGCAAGGTGAGTGACAGCCAAACTGTGAAGTTTTCCTTGTCTTCCTGCAACTAATAGTGAGGTTTGTGTTTAAGCAGGTAGCATGGTGGGAAGCGGTGAAAGTTCATACGGAGCCCTGAGTAGGACATCTGGTCAGGTCTGTAGGTCAGACCCAAAGGCTGCAAGTCTTCTCATATCTGGCTGGGAGAATGCACTGGGCATGTTCATTGAAGTACAACAGACGATAGCAGGGGTGTTAGCTGGGAAGCAGATTCCTCTCCATAGCCACAGGCCAATACTGCCACTTTTCTATCATCACAGCAATATAAATGAAACCTGCAGAGAAGATTGTCATCCAAAGGACAAATGTAACTGAGCTGTGTCTGAAAGGGGAAGAAATGAGAAAGCTAAGGGTTGTACAGCAGAAAACACACTTCAAAAATAACTGTTGCTGTACTCTTGTTTTGTAGAGATGGGCCCCCCATGTATTTGGAGTTTGTTTGTTACATGATGTTCAACAGCAAATAGTCAGAACAAAGGTACTTTACAACCAGTTGGGTTTGAATTGTGTACATTGGTTCAAATAGGTTCTTTTTTTTTCTTTTTTTTTTCTTTTTTTTTTTTTTTTTTTTTTTAGTTTTAAAGTAACCTACGAAGTAATGTCCAAATGTGATACGTGTTGCACCCGACTACAGATGAAACTAGAGTGCACAAAGGCTCTTTAATATTCTGGGAACTATACTGGAAGGTAAAGGAAGCATGTGGAATTGCAGCTGATGTTGCGGTGTTAATTATTTTTAACATTTTGATGTTAATGATGTTTGATGGGTGAATGTGTCTAGTCTGGTCTCCGCTCTTTGATCCAGTGTCTAAAGCCGTCGCTCAATCTCCTCTAATTTATATGTGTTTGTAATTTCATTTGCTATTCTTTGCCATTATTGGACTGCAGGGGGTATTATTAATACTACCTGTGTTTATTTTATAGAACATTGTACTATGCTATCTACCAACTTTTGTAACTTACAAGTGATATTTAGGTAATTCTAATAGCTGTATATTTGGCAAATTATTAAAATTTTCTGCAAGTGACTTGCAAGTATAATTGGTTTCTTTTTAATACAGGATGATTGCTGAGAAAATGTTTTCTTGACTGTACCTGCACTGATGAATCCTTCTTTCTCCTCTTCTCTATGCTCTCTAAAATGGGTATTTACCTTAGATTTACCAGTTCTGCTTTACCACCATATTTTTGTCAGGGCATCCATTGCCATTGTTTGCTGGGAATACCTGCCTTGGTATACAAGAGTCACCTCTATAAAACGGGGGTGGGGAGAATAATCCAAGTCCCTACACACAACAAAAATACCAAACCAGAATTTGTT